CACACACAGGGACACACACAGTGAGGGGGACACACAGGTACAAGCACAAGACAACACACACAGCAAGGCATACACAGAGTGAGGGACACAGTGAGGCACAAACACACATCAAGACATGCACACATTGAGGCACACACGTGGTGCACACATGCATGGCATGTTGAGGCACACACGTGTGAAGGAACACATGCACAGCAAAGCACACACTGCAGAGCACACACAGCATGGCACAGGGTGAGGCACACATGCACAGCAAGGCACACACATGGAAAGGCACACAGATGGTGAGGCACACACATGGTGAGGCACACAGATGGCAAAGCACACCCATGTCAAAACACACACACACCCACAGGGCAACCCAAAGACTTGGACTTGTACAGCTCCTGTGGCACCAAACAGTCCCAGGCCAGAACTTGATCCAGCTCTGAGGTTTGGCTCATGGTGGAGCTGCAGCTGTGAGAATGCCAAGTACACATACTAAAGACCTGACAGGCTCTCCCTCAAACTGCCAGTCTAAAGCACACCCATGTCAAAACACACACACACCCACAGGGCAACCCAAAGACTTGGACTTGTACAGCTCCTGTGGCACCAAACAGTCCCAGGCCAGAACTTGATCCAGCTCTGAGGTTTGGCTCATGGTGGAGCTGCAGCTGTGAGAATGCCAAGTACACATACTAAAGACCTGACAGGCTCTCCCTCAAACTGCCAGTCTGAGGCAAAGTCAGTGGGTAGGGTGGAAAGGAATACTGTCATTTATAGAAACACCACCTGCACTTTGCATTCTCATGTTTCACCACTAAAACCAGTCTCCAGTCTTTATGTGGCACCAGTGCTGCTTCAAAATGTGTGATCAGCAGCAGCAACCACAAGTGACCAGAGAGAAGAGCAAGACATTTACAACCATAAAATGCTACTTTAGATCTCACCTTGATTTTGTGCACTTAAAACCTGCAGCTTCTCACTGCTCCTGTGCACTATGACACCTTACGAGGATTTTAAAATCCTGTTCTAAGGATTTAAACTTGAAGATTTATCAGTGAGGTACAGTTAAAATTCAGGGTGTTTTTTACCTTCCTCAGGCTTTTCCCCCCTTTTAAGGCATCTGATCAAGTTTTTAAGTGTGCGAAAGAACATAATCTGCATATATCATTCAGTGCTATTTTTTTCATGTTTATTATTATTTCACAACTGTCAGGTGATCAATCCATGCCTTTGCATCCACTAAACAGTAAGAGGTGCTACAGCCACATGCATCTCACTCAACAGGACGCTCAGAATAAACTCTGCTGCTCACAGCCTTTGAGTTTCCCATATCCAACTCTATCTCTTCCCTACCAACAGTCTCTCCAGGATAATAATCCCTGAGGGATTTTTGCAGTGCTCTTCCTGCACTACCTCAGTGCACTGTCCTTTTTCCTGCATACTGAGGTGTCAAACACCCCGAAAATAAGTTATTTTCAATGTCAGGCACATGTTGCTTTGAACTTAAGGTTATTGTGGCCAAACCATTTCAAGCCTCAAGGTTAGCAAAAGGTATGGAAGTGCAGAGTCAGGGGAGGACTTATTTGCCAATAAGAGAGGGCAAAGCATTCGTCCTTGGGAATAAATCCTGCTCTGACTCTGCTCCTTCCCAGAGCCACAGGCACCAAACCAGAGCCCTCAGTGTTGTCACAGAAACAGTGGGTTAGACAAAGCATCATCTCAGTCCTTGGCTGAGGAGTTTAAAGCAAGCAAAATCATGAGAGAAAATCAGGAAAAGTTTAATTGTAGAAGCAGCTATTAAACCCAAGCAATGAACCGGGTGAACTCCTGAGAGGCTCAGCAGAACT